GCGGGCCTCACTGCTTCTCCCCGGCGGCTCTCGCTCCGCCTGCCTGCGGCCTCCACGCGGGGCTGGGGCCGGCAGAAAGCAGCTGAGGGCGGTACCGTGGGCCCTTCGCCCAGGCGAGGGGAATTTGTGCGGTTCGAGAGCTTCGGGAAGCTCCTTCAGGGGCCGTGAAGGCCTTGAATCCTGCAGCGGCCTTGGGTATCTTCTCGCCTAACTCTTGACAATTCTCACTGCTCCCAGGTGTTCAAACGCTTCGTCGAGATTGGCAGAGTGGCCTTCGTTTCCTTCGGGCCGCATGCTGGCAAGCTGGTGGCCATTGTAGATGTTATTGACCAAAACAGGGTAAGCTGCCAGCGCCGTCCCTTTATTTTCTCCTTTCTGCCTTAACAGAAGCTGGTGCGCTAAGAGGGTATCGATTTTGAGTGTGAAATTTTCTGCGAGTAGATTTTTCAAAAGAGCAATTGATGGAAAAATGGGATTTAACAGCTGTTGTTGTAGTTGAAACTTTCAGTAGCAAGCTTTTTTTCACTGGCAAGTGATGTATTCACCTCTCTGCTGTGTTTCCTAGGAGTAGAAGTGGACAAGTCATGTCAGTTGGAGTCTAAAACTTATGAATGGAATGGCGTTAATGTACGCTTAAAGCAAATGTTTTGGGCTGAGGGATTATTTCTGCTTAATATTCCTGAAAAAGCTGGGGCGGGGGGGAAGGAAGATGAAGTATGTTACCTTAGTTCTGTGTGCTTTTTTAAAACCAGTTTGGTTTTTTTTCTCCAAAGAGAAAGATGGGCCTTTAAAATGTTTCCTGTAAAGCTTGGGTTCAATATGCAAGACTTCACAATCTCTGGTTTTGTCTGCATAACATTTTTTTAAATTTTGGACCATTGTTGTCAAGAGAATCTTCGGATATTATTAGGAAGGTGCTGTCTAAACCAAGTGCAATGGAAAACTGCTACAAAACCCCACGTTTGTTTTCCTTTTTTCAGGCACTGGTTGATGGCCCCTGCAGTGGTGTCAGGAGGCAGGCTATGCCCTTCAAGTGCATGCAGCTGACTGATTTTGTTCTCAAGTTCCCACACAGGTGAGTTGTTAGCATTTTTCTGACCTGTGTAAAAAACCCATGCTGTCACTTGATGACTGAATTATGTGATCTGATGCTTGCTAGGTCTAGAAAGTTCATACAACATGAAGTCAGCAGATTAAGATGTGTGCACAGTAAAAATTTGGCAGACTGTGTTATCATAATTGAATACATTTAAGTTTTCATTGCCAGTATTGGCTGATAACCGCTGTTGAGGAGCAAAGGAAATAGCACGCTGGCCTAGGCGACTTGCAGATAGTTGTGGGGGGGAAGCAGTTGCAATAACTACTGTGCAGCTTTGCTTTTGCTGCTGCTTATATCACCTTCAGATATCAAATACGTTCCCTGCCTGCAGGACTACACTAGAATTGCAGGAGGCTAAACTAATTAATTCTGTTCTCTTTAGCTTAGTTACTACATGAGTTTCTGTAATTTAGAAACAAAAACTGCTGTCTTTCTGTTTCTGAAGCGGTGCTAGGAATAGTACATGAGTATGCAGCTTCTGTCAGTCCTAGCAAAGCATTTACACACCTAATTAGGTTGCAGAGGTGTACGTGGCATTGACTTGAAAAGTGTCTGAAGTAATGTAGAAGGGTGATCTTCCCTTGTATGAAATTTGATGGGCCAGCATCAGAGAGAACCTTTTTTTATAAAGACTGTGAATAACGCTTTGTGGCTGTTCTAATGCAGTGCTCGTCAGAAGTGTGTGCGACTTGCCTGGGAGAAGGAAAATATAAATGAAAAATGGGCAGCGACAAGGTGGGCAAAGAAGATTGAAGCCCGAGAAAAGGTACGGTTTTTCACTGGATGAGTAATACACGTTGTAATGCTTCTGCTTATTAAAATCGGGTGCAATCTAATAAACTATATGTTTTCAGTTGCAGGCTAAGATTACAGATAGATAAGGCATAGATTTTTTTTTTCAAAGTTGCTACCTATCAGCTTCAACTGCTTGTATTTTAACAGTAAATGTGGTTTTGTTTAGTCATTTCTAAAGCTACCTTTTTTCCTGCACCATCACTTTCCAGCAAAGGCTTTAAATAGTGAACTAGTTCCAGATGTGCAGGTAAACCTAATTTGGAGGTGATCAGAGTTACTTATGGAATGCTTTGAAACACTGAGTTTTACTACTTGTGTATGCATATATCAGAGCTTCATGACTGATTCTTTTCAAACAGAAAGCCAAAATGACTGACTTCGATCGCTACAAGGTTATGAAAGCGAAGAAGATGGTAAGTGTTTGAGTGTCACTTTTTTATGAGGTTAATGCTTGGAGCTTTCACTTTAGAATCACGAGCAGATGTTAGCAGCCTCACTTCCCTAGCTGGCTTGGGTTATGGCTTGACGCAAAGTATGTGAACGCCTTGAATTTTTCATGCTGCTTTCTCTTCAATGGTTGATCAAAGTTGAACCCACATGATCTGTGTGTCAGTCTTCCAAGTTACAGCTGAGAAAGGAATTACCTGCTGCTGCTGAAATTGGGTATTCTTGATGGGTTGCTGTTAGTATTTCATTCTATAATGAAAAACATTACACGTGAAATATTGGGCTGCCCAAGTTACCAGCCAGAATTATGTTGTTCGCTTGTTAGATCCAAAGTTTCAGGTGGAATTTGACATTTTAAATGTAATACATGGTAAATCTTGACTATCTAATATAAATATAATTGGTTAGCAAAGGGTGATTATCAAAAAGGGCAGAATCTGAAAGCTTAGAAATGAAGCTAAGACATAATATTTGAGCTGTTGCTGTTTTCATTCTGATGAATAGCTTTCCTTTTTTACAGAGAAACAGGATCATCAAGCATGAAATGAAGAAACTCCAGAAGATGTCTTCTAAAAAAGGCAAGAAGCCAGAGAAGTCAGAGAAGCCAGAGAAATCAGAGAAGGCGCAGAAGCCAGAGAAGGTGCAGAAGGCACAGAAGGCGCAGAAATAAAATGAACTTCTAGTTATGTATGACTTTGTGTCCTTGTTCTGATTCTTTATGGTTAACAAATGGTTAAAACATCTGATTCAAATTGTAATCATAAGTTCACTTTTGCTTCTGACCAAGAGTTGTTGTCTGTCTCATTTATTAATGTCTGAGTTTCGGGTTCTGGTGTTCCCCTGGAACATGAGGGGATGTTTTTGTCAGCTTCTGTGAAGGTGACCATACAGACTGTGCTCGGTATGCTCTGCCCAGTGCCAGCTGAAATATCTGCGTGCCCAGGTGTTTGAAGTAGGTCAGATCCTGATGTCTTAAAGCAGTCTGCTATTGAAATGGTTGATAATGAACAAAATTACACAGTCTTGGGTGTGAAAGATGGGAAATAATGAATTACACTAATCATTCTGTATAAATTAAGGCATAAACCTAAAGTATGTATTCTGGTTAGAATATAAGTACATCAGTATTTGAAAGACTGGCAAATTGCTGTTCAAATGCTTTAAATTACTTTTTTTTTTTTTCCTAAAAAACTTCCACTATTCTTTAAGTAGTGACCTAGAATACTTCCGTACTTCTGATGTCTAGCAACACAGTTGTCCTGTAAGTGCAGTTGCAATAATGAGTGACCTATTAAGAAGATGGAAATTGGTGACTTGTGTTTAAGCTTGCTTGCTTTTCAGAATTTTTAAAGTTAGGAGCTTATGTCAAGGCCTAATAACAGTTCCTTAAACTATGCAGCATGTAATTCCTGCTTCTTAATCAAAACCTTTAAGTAAAAGGGGACATGACCTAAAAAATAACTTGATCCGTCTGGAACAGTGAAGTGCTTGATTTAGTCTTTGCACTATAAAATAATGTTTACATATCTCTGAATGTCAGCATCCATATTTTCCTGTGTTTTCTCCTGTGTAGTTTGTTGGCAGGAGAGAATTTTTCTTCATATCGAATGAGGAAATTGTGGAAGTCTGAGATCTCTTGTAATTGAGAAGCAAATTATTTTTACAGTCAACTAAATAGAAGAGGGAGAATATATATATTTTAAAAAATTAAGGTTAGGAGGTCTTTAAATATATTGCTAAAGATAAACATCTATTGTCAAATACACTGGTAAGCATGGGCTTTTACAAATGAGTGCTTTTAAGTAGTTACATGGCTGGTGTTGCTTATTTCAGCCAGAATTGGGCATGTGCATGCTCAAACACTTAGAACTATACACTCTTGTCTCGAGCTCTTTATATGCCTTTGGAAATTGAATTCTAGCACACCGTTGGTATGAGTGGATGTAACAACTACGGAAAAAAAAAAAAAGTGAGGCAAATTGGGATTAAAACCCATGTTCAAGCATCTGGAGATCTTTATTTTAAATTGGATTTTAAAGTGATGAAATCCACCCACTCTGCAACTCCCAACTTGAAAGGTTTATCAACCTGGAGGTCCTTTAAGGGGTTTTCCTTAGGGTTCTGTGGGGTTCTTTATATACTAGTGTTAAGCTCAGTTACATAAGACTAGGGAAAATTTGGTAAAAGTGCCTGTAGAGAAAATAGATGTGCCTGCAAGCATAACGAGCTCCCAAATGCTTTTTGTGCCTTTGTGCTTTTTTTTTTAAGGTACTTACTTCCAGGGAATAACTTTGGCTGTGACTGCAGCCCTTCCTCTGGTGTTTTCATTCCCACCAATACCACTCAGCAGCTACGGAGGTTTTATCTGAAGCCTTTTGATGGTATGAAGTGCGCTGTAAAGAGGAACCTTACAATGTGCCTAGAGAGAGGGCTGCCCACCTGCGGGCCGGTTGTGTCCACCTTGGCGCTGGGCCGTGGAAGGGGGTGCGCTGGGGGAGCGGGGCATTAAAAATCAAGGCATGTGTTAAGTGTGGGAGAGCGTTATGTCCCTTAGAAGAAAACTTGGTTCTGTAATACCGTGTCTGCCATCCACCGCTTCTGTGACAGTACCAATTTTTTTACAACTTGGAGGAAAGGGGAGGAGAGAAATGAGGGAATATACTAGTCTTTGGTACTTGTGCTGCGTCTTTCTGGCAGCATGTTCCCCATGAGCAGCATCTGGTGCTCCTTTCAGCAGCTCTCCGAAACTTTTTGCAGCTCTGTATCATGCCAGTAGCCCGCCTTCCTTTCAAACCACTAGTCTCGTGCCATCCGTGATGGTTTGTCCTTTATTTTTTGAAGCTGTGGGACAACAGAAGCATAGTTCTGTTTCTGAAGGTTACTGCACGATGGCAATGCTGGCTCTTTACAGGGTGCTTCCTAAGGCTCGCCCAAACTGGGCAGCTGAGCTGCCTCTCTCTGCACGGAACGGTGCCAAACGCAGGGGATGGCACAAACATTTGAGAACAGTGGACGTGCGTGTCTCATTCTTTATTTTGCCCTTACAGTTGACTAAGATGTACTTCGCTGGACTAAGGATCTACTTCTTTACTTTGTGGAGCCGAGCGTGAAGAAATAGGATCTGCTATTTGGAAACAGCTTAAAGTGAAGTCCCAGTGTTTATTTTCTCAGGGTATTTCACGCAGAACATAGAGGAGGGTTTGCTGGGGGCAGAGAGGAGAATGCACCCTATCCAGTTTACTCCCAAGATAGCAGATATTGCCATACTTCCCAAGCTGATACCAATAGTAGGGAAACCCAGCACTAATCTCTGTGCAGCAAAGTCTGGGAGACCATGAGCAATTCTAGGAGTAGGATTGGATCCCTTGGCATAATCTGTAGTTAAAACGTGTAAAATCTGCTTTTACTTTGAACCAGCTGCAGATCTGGGCCGAGTGATTTGCTGGTGATGCGTATTTCTTCTTCAAAAAAGGCTATATTTAAGTGTTTTGGGTTCTTGTCTAAACATGTCTGTTGCTGCATTTGGCATCTGAATGTGTTTCAGTTTTGGGGTGGAGATCATAGAATCATAGAATGTTTTGGGTTGGAAGGGACCCCTAGAGGTCATCTAGTCCAACCCCCCTGCAGTGAGCAGGGACACCGCTAACTAGTTCAGGTTGCTCAGAGCCCCATCCAACCTGGTCTTGAATGTTTCCAGGGATGGGGCCTCCACCACCTCTCTGGGCAGCCCGTTCCAGTGTTTCACCACCCTCATTGTAAAGAATTTCTTCCTTATATCTAGTCTAAACTTACGCTGTCTTAGTTTAAAACCATTATCCCTTATCCTGTCACAGATGTCCCTACTAAAAAGATTGTCTTCGTCTTTCCTTTAAGTACTGAAAGGCTGCAATCAGGTCTCCCCGCAGCCTTCTCATCCCCAGGCTGAACTATACCAACTCTCTCAGCCTGTCCTCATAGGAGAGGTGCTCCAGCCCTTGGATCATTTTTGTAGCCTCCTCTGGACCCACTCCAACAGTTCCATTCCTTCTTGTGTTGAGGGCTCCAGAGCTGGACGCAGTACTCCAGGTGAGGTCTCACCAGAGCAGAGTAGAGGGGCAGAATCACCTCCTTTGACCTGCTGGCCACACTGACCTGAAAGAGGAACCTCTGGATTTACTGATCTTCCTGGGTTTCAAATACTAGTGTTCAGGCTGTCCTTCAATTAAGGTTTGCTTGGCGACTATGTCATTTTCAAATCATTTGGTCTTGTAGTTAACATAGCAGATAATGTCTGTCCTGAACTACTTCTGCGCCACTGAAGCTGACCATGGACTTGTGGCAAACCTGGTCCTGTTTACAGGCTGGATCCCCTCTTATTTATTTTGTCTTACTTGTAGGGCCCCTTAAATGTTTCCAGCCCTGTATGTTTCTCTCCTTCCCCCTGCCCACCTTGATAAGGTGTCTCTGAAAACTCCACGCGCCTGCCTTTCGTCGAGGTGAAAAGGTGCTAATTTCTGTTCGCAGCATTATTGGCACGTGAGTAAGTACAGTTTACAAGCAAGAACTGGTAGGTGGAGCAAACGGCTGTGTGATTTGGGCTCTTCAGCTTTTGGTTCTTCCTTCGTATAATTTATGTGTTGGTTTGGTTTTTTTTTTAATTTGGAAATAGTTGTTCGTGTTGTTTTGAGCATGAAGTTGCATATACGATTGTCACACTCAGGTACTTTTGAGTTTATACTGGGATTTCCTTCTCTGAAGCACAGATCTGCTTTTACCTGTTTAAGCGCTGCCTCCCTGGTTGTGCTGAAGTGCCGCAGTCCTTGCCCCTGCCTCAACACAGGCAGCAGCCCCCTGGACACTGGTGATGTACCCACACCCTCTCTTTCTCCCTGAACTCCTAAGAGCCTTCATTCTTGGATGCTGTGCAACCTCCAGCTCATGCTGTCCTTAAGATGGAATTTGGCCCAACCTTCACTTTGCGTAGCTGCCCCCTGTGTTGTATTTTTTTTTAATTAAACGAACAGCAGGTCATTTTTTTCCTCGCCTCACTTTCAGCGATCATAAGCCAGTCTAAGCAATCTCCAGGTAAGTCTTTGTAGCAAACTCTCCCTCCTCCCCCAAAAGCTTTCAGATCACTATGTGCATCCAAATTAGAGAAGTTTTCCACCTGCAGTCAGATATTTGTGCTGTTACCCAGCCTAGAAATTATGCCATCGCCACCAGCACAGAGCCACGTCCTCCTTCGTAAGATGCATCGACCTAGTTCTCGTTACAGAGGGAAGTACTTCGTAACATTTTCCCAGTGGTCTCCTGGTATGAGGGTATTTTTCAGGATATTTTGTTCTGTAACCGTTTGGGAGCGTTGCTGCTTGCGTATTGCGAGGAGAGGCCCTGAGCCGCTCGTCATGGCTCATCCCAAGAGCTGAGCTCTTCCCTTGCGCCCACTTTGGGCTGCCTGTGGGGCGCGGGGGGGTGCAGCGGGGTGCTGTGCTGCTGCTGAAGGTTTGCATGGCAGGATCTCATCAGGAAGCTCTGCTTTGATGAAAATGATAGATGCTTTGAAAAAGTAACAGTGTTCATATTTAGATAGCATTAAACAGTATCATCGTGGAGATCAGCTGGAGCTTTACCTCAGGATGCCCAGTGGGAGGGCGCAACATCTGAGTATTTTTCACAGTAACTCAACAGCCAAGACTTTTTAGAGCTACTGTTTGAACCTCGTATTTACAAAAGCCATCAAACAAAAGAAGGGGCCGTTGCTTACTGTGTTATTGCAGTCAGGTGCTGTATAAAGGCGATCTAAAGAAAG